TTGGCGGGTATGATTGATGTCTTCACCTAAGTCGATAGGGGGAGAATAGGTTTGGATCATGTTATCCAAATCCATGATCCAAACATAGCCTTGCTGATATCAGCAGGGGACAACTTTTGTTTTTGGTTGGTTGTTTGTTTCAACAGCTTACTGTCTGCTGCAACTTTTTCTGCTCTTAAATGTGCTTATAAGCACAACTTTCTGCACATTAATTTTATTACTAATTCTTGAGTCTCTGTTTTAGCAGATAAAGGGCAGTAAAGATATTCAGGTGGTGACAACTGCATGGTTTTTGGATTTCTATGTATCTCACAAAATATTTTCATTCATACCAATTGTGTCTACAGCAACAGACTTTGCTCACAGCAGCTTTTTCCTTAGCCCGATTCGCAGCATTTTCCAGTATCTCCTCTTCTCGTGGGGAGGCCTACTTTTCTTTTGAGATAAAATGATCCTACCCGACAGCATCCAACCAATCTACTGTTATTTTCGCATACTGTGTTTTTTGTTTTCGCTTCAGTTTCTATTTAGACTTCTTCATGTTGTTAGTTATTGTTTCCTGAATTGTTTTAATATATATATATATATATATGTCAATGAGTGATGTTGTTTTACTTAAATTGCTGTGCAAACCTATTCTTGGTGGTGTCATAACACACATCATTTGTGTTATGTTCTCAACAATTCTCATTGCAATTTGTGGTTCCAGTAGAGCATACAGCAGCTTTCATTTGAAGACATGCCAAGCAAGAAGAATAGACACATTCATTTCTTTTCTTCTTATTTTTCAACAATGGGACCACTTGCAGTTGATCCTTCTTCACATGTCTACAAGAAAAAAAGTCGCAATGGAGAAATATCTTGGATAGTGGGCCCCGTTATTGATGGCATAGATAGTTTCTTTTATCGATTTTGTGATTGGTTTTGTATCATTACAATTAGAATTAGGTGGTGCATTGAGCTAAATTGAGTTAAATTCGCATCAAAAATAATTTCACATTCACACAAAACAAAAAAAAAAAAAAAAAAGAACAAAATATAATTATAATTAAATGATATTTTATTTAATGAGATTGTCAATTACAAAAATTCTAACAAAAAGTTAATCGAAATTTATTTTAGGAATCATACTGGTACACTCATAACGAATTTTGAGTTTGAATTATTTATTTATTTTAATAATTTTTTATGTGTATGCATGTAACATAACATTATTATAATTTAATTGAAGAAGATTAATATATATCATCTTGTGTCCTTAGACTTTGTGTTTTTGTTAGTTTTTAATAATTATTTTTAAACAAGAAATTAACCATAAAAATTAATATAAGCAATGATACCAGATGATAATAAAAAATGGGAGAATTATTTAACAGTGGGGATAGAAAAAAAATTACAAAAATATTGGTGGTGCAAGTATTTTTGTGATGGAGTGCAAGTGAAAAACTATGCTTGCACTCCTCCATGTTTGGATATATATATATATTTTTATCCAACTGATAAGTAATTTTCCCATAAAAAATTGACAACAATTGTTTTTTATTTTTAATTTGAATCTTTGCTTCTTTGGCCTTCGTTTTGGAAGATATAATTTAGCCTAACTTTTTAATTTTTTGACTAATTTAGTTAAATTAGCTCTATTTGGGAAAATTTTTTGACTTTTTTTGTTTGGATGTGATAATTGTAAAAGAAAAAATTAAATGATTATGATTATAATTTAGATGTGATATTCTGTCTAATTAACTTATTTTGTCTTTTTGTATTTATTTAGTCACTTTATCTTTTGTCAAATGAGGCCTTAATAATTTGCGTGCACTCCTTGATGTGACATTGTCAAGAAATAACAAAATTGGTGGACCCTCAACTCTTAAGGCTAGGCGTGTGCGCAGTGCAATTCGACAATTTGAAGGTAAAATTATAAATTAAATGGCAGATTGGTGGATAATTAAATAGCGATTTGAGTAGTTTAGAACGGATTGACAAATTGAAAAATACTCTAAATCAATTATCAAGTATTTGCATAATATATAATGTTAATTTGTATAATATTTTTCATATATATTACATAGTAACATTTTTCATATACTGCATATATATATATATATATAACTACTAATTTGCAACAAATTTTATATTTTAAATTTCTCTCATATTCATTTTTATTTTGATATATCATTAAATGTTAAAAATATACATATATTAACTATAACGGAACAGAACAATTTTAAAAATAGATTATAAATTTTAAAGTTTAATTCGCTGTTAACGGATAAAACGGAACAAATTAATATGATTTTTAACAAATTATACTGTATTGTGCACAATCGTACTTAAGTCTATGTTTGTTGGGTAGTCATCAGTAATACTACGCTCACAAAATCAAAGCACAGATTGAAACATAGAAATAGATGTGGCCCACCATGACCTTTTTGGTGAAGTTTTTTAAGAAAAAATTGATAATGAGAAATTAAAAGGAACATTTTTCTAATTTTTAAATAATTAATTTTTTTAATTTATTTAAATTATTTTTACCTAATAAACTATATGTTGAAGTTACACTAAATAGTCTGGCATATATTCCTAATTTAAAATAAGTTACAACAAATAGTCTCATGTTATTAGGGCTCTGTTTGTCCCAATTTAGAATAACTAATCGTGAACTAACACACATGGTATCAAACCCCACTATACCTCGTCACCATCTGCTCTCATTCATTCTTCAATACCCACTGTACAACGATCATCATCTTCTCGTTCCCTCTTCCACCGGAGACCATCATTTTCTCACTTTCCTTTCCACAGGCGACTGCCACCCCTTCATTTATTCTTCTTCTTCTCTTTCCACTGGTCTAGCCCAACCCGTTCTTGTGCCGTCATCGGATATGGATTCAGCATAGATCGCAATTGTCGAAAAATGTGAATCGTCAATGGATATGCAATTATGACTTTCACTTCGATCCAAACCCAGCCCAACCTCTGCCTTTGTGCCGTCAATTTTGGCAAGGTGAAGAGACGAATCTGAGGGGTGGGGGTTGTGGGTTGGGTTTGGCAGAAGAGGGAGGAGATAAGATGGTGATGGAAATAAAAAAAACATACCCTTTAGTGTAGGCATAATCCCCATCAACTTGCAACATGAAGAATACCTCGTTACCATCATGCAAAGCCCGTAATCGAACCGTCAAACTTCTATAAACAAAAACACAAAAACCCAAAATCATAATTGATCAAAACAAAAAAAAACACAAAACAAAAAAAGAAATTTCACAATGCTCTGTATAGTAGCCAAGAAACATAAGATTTAACATTATATATTTTTTAGTTTTTCTCTTATTCTAACTTTTTCATTCCTCTTATCTATTGCTTTTCTAATTAACCAAAAAGGGCATTAACATACTGATCTCATAATCAAGTGAACATTATGTGACTTTCCACATTTCTTAGGGGGAACATTTTACTCATATTTCTTTAAAAACCATTCTCAGCCAAATAGAGAGAGAATTGGAAAGAACAGAGATGATGGATTCAAACAAATCTTAACGGTAAACTTTCCACTGTTGTATAGTTTGTCAAAATCTAGATCCAAAGCGGGTAAGAGAGAGAAATGGAATCCATCAATATCGTTCCAATCGTCTACATGGCCGCCGTTGAGGGTGATGAGTCCAGGCTTGAAGAAGGCTCGGAGTTAGATCTTAGGGTCCGGATCGCAGCTCCATTAGCTGCTCTCTTGATAAAAAAAAAATCAACCGATTTGTTCACCTTTTTTCTCTCTGGCGTGTTTTGAGAAGTTGCTGATTTTTTAGCTTTTTTGTGGATAAATTTTTTTTTTTTTGAATAAATTATGTGAGAGATGATGTGATTTAAAATTGATTAAAGCCGATCAATCAAGCAAAGACGCAATGGCCCGCTAGTAGCTAGTTGAGGGTAGAATTTAAAACTGAGATTTAGAGAGAAGCATATTCCTATATATATAAGATATCTCAATAGAAAATTAATTTACAAAAATATCTTAACTTTGTTAGTTATATTTTATTTGGAGTTGACTGAGACCCCCACTATTTTCCCACCCCCACACACACGTGGGGGTGTGCATAATACCGCCGAAACCGTCGAAACCGCCAAAACCACACCGAACCGCACCGCCAAGGCAAATTCGTTATTATTTGCCAATCGAACCGCCGGTTTTTGGTAAGAAAAATGGCAAATTCTAGTGACACTTTTATCAATCCGTCGGTTTCTATTTTTCTTCCAAACCGCACCGACCCGCACTGCTATTAAATCATGTTTTATAAGATTCTAAAAATTCTTTTTTACTTAAGTTTGCTTGTTGTTCTATACCTTAGAATATAGTATTACATTACTGCTTAAGGGGAATTCAAGTTGTCAGTAATCCAAAATAAAATTAGATTCCAATTCACTTTTCAAGATGCTTAACATCACGGTATCTCTCGTCTTTTTTTTACTTTTTTATTTAAGTCTTGTAATTTGAATTATATTTTTTATAAACTGCCAATCCGCCCGAACCGTCAAGGCAAATAAATCATTATTTGTCAACCGAACCGCCGGTTTTTGATAAGGAAAATGAAAAATTTTAGTGACACTTTTATCAATCCGCCACTCGTCATACGATTTCTATTTTTCTCTCAAACCGCACCGACCCGCACCGCGCACACCCCCTATACGTGGGGTTGGTGATTTGAGCAGGAAAAAAAAAATATTGGCCAATCAACACCCGTTAGGGATGTTGGGGTCTCTCCCAGTGGCGGTCTCTGTCTTTTTTCTATTTTATTGAAACACACAAATAACTAAAATGGTTTTAAAATAAAAAATTAAAATTGATAAAATTAAAATTTTGAAGTTTAATTTAAAAACCACGTTAAATGATGAGATTTTTTTTTTTTATAATTTATTTAAAAATATTTTACTTATTTTTTTTATTCAATCAAAAACGAAAAATGAGTAAAATACGTGAAAAAAAAGAAGCATTTTACCTTGGAGTCCCACCAACCATACTACTACCAGCAGCAATCACTTGATTGAAGAGACAGAAAATAACTCTAACCAGCACTCACAGTAGAGAGAGAGAAGAGAAACTCCATCGTTGAAGCTTCGTCGGCGGTCGTATTTTCGCTGGCAGATTGAAGAGTGAGCTGAGCTTCAACACTCAAAAAGGTTAGTCCAACGGATCAAAGAGAAAAAGAGACAAAAGTCGCTCTTCCACGAATCGACCAAAGACCTCTTCTCAAAGAGACTTCCCTAGTTGGCTCATCTTTAAATGTTTGTCCAAATTTTGCATGTTGTATTATTTTTTACATAATTTAGATTTTTGGGATATAAATTTCTGTCTTCACACCCAAAAGTTTTTTTATTTTTAAGATTGCCCAAATTCAATGTAGGGATTTTTGGGATATGTCAAGTCAATGCTAGATTTGGGACAAAAGAAATGAGTTAATTACCCTAAGTATATTGCAGGTTTGGACTTTGTTAGTTTGATAAATTTTATCCATATGAATCGTGAGACTATGGAGGAGCAAAGAATTTTTTCCTGTATTAAATTTGTGAGAGCAGTGATATTCAACTCCAATTTTCTCTGCATTTGTAAAAGTGATTGCATATTTTTAATTGTTAAAGTGATATCGATGTTTAAGCATTGCTTGTAAGGACGACCATGGGCCAATGTTGCATATTCTTATGTATCAAAAAAAATTTTTTTTTCACCAAACACTTGATGGACTGTAACCCTGGTGGGGGGCGTGATCCATCATTAGCTGCCATAATGAAAATGTGACCGCTGATCAACGATGGGGTTTCTCTCTGTCCTGTAATGAGTGTTATTGAGAGAGTTATTTTCTCTCTTCAATCATGTGATTGCTGGTTGGTGGGATCCACACCTAATGACATGGTGTGCCACATCTGCTTCTCTGTTTCAATCCGTGTTTTGATTGTTTGAGCGTAGCATTACTCAGTCATTCTTGTCAATGTCATTGCCATCTGAGTCACACACTGCATTATTGAGTTGGCATTGAGTCTATTAAAGCCCGCTTTGAAACTATATTTTTTCAACTCTTTAATAAAGGTGATTTACATACCAAATGAGGCCTTTGTCAATGTTGCAGACAGTAACCAGGTCATCCATATAAGAAGTGCACCCCCGTGAAAGAAGAAGAAGAAGAAGAAGAAGAAGAAGAAAGAACCCTTTGGTGGTGAGAGATGACTATGGCGGAATCTGTAGCTCTGTTTTTTGCAACCTTTGTGATGAAAAGTCTGGGTAGGTTGCTCATCCAGGAGGCGATAAATTTGCGTGGGGTGAGGCCCCAAGTTGAGCAATTGCAAGCCCAGCTGAACCGGATGCAATGCTTCTTAGAAGCTGCAGGTGCAAGACCAAAAGGAGGAGCAGATGAGATTATAATCCACAACTGCGTTGCTGAGATCAGAGAAGCATCCTATGATGCTGAAGCTGCAATTGCAACTTTTATTGTCAAAATTGCATTTCGTACTAGTGGGAGATCAGATCAGTTCCCTTTCGTTCTCAAGAGGTATTTGTGTATCTTCAAGGAATGTTTAGCCCTTCGTGAGGTTAGGTTGGAGATTGAGGTTATTAATACTAGGGTCACCAATAGCATCACAACAGGTTTTCAAATTTGTGGCATACTAAATTCTACAGGAGTAGGAAAAAGCTCATCATCAACGTCTACGGCTGAGAGGCAGCAACAATTAAGGCGATCCTATGCCCATATTGTGAGGAGGATGTTGTCGGCACAGAAGAAGATGTAAAAGCAGTAGTGGATCTTTTGGTGAAGGAGAAGACACATTATAGAGTTGTTTCCATTTGGGGGATGGGTGGTCTTGGCAAGACCACCCTTGCTAAGATGGTTTACAAAAACATTGAAATTATGCGTCATTTTAAATGTGTTGCTTGGGCCTATATATCTGAACAATGCAATACAAGGGAAGTTCTTGAAGGGATTCTTATCAAACTTCTCTCTCTATCAAACAAAGAAAGGAAAGCAATTGGAAAGTTGAAACATGATGAGCTAGTCAAGAAACTTCATCAAGTCCAAAGTGAGAAGAAATGTTTGGTGATTCTCGATGACATTTGGAAGGATGCGGATTGGGATAGTCTGAGTGCAGGCTTCCCAAATTCTACAGAGGTAGGCAGCAAGATATTGCTAACAACTCGCAATAAAAATGTTGCTAAGCATGTAGATCAACAACGCGTGCTTTATAAATTGAGGCACTTAATAGCAAAGAAGAGTTGGGAGCTGTTTGTGAAGAAAACATATATGAGAAGAAAAGAAGTTACCGGTAATTATTAACATCCTACACAATCAAATGATTTGTGCTTTTAAAGTTTCAAATGTCTTTCTTAAACTACTTGCCTTTCGGATTTGAATTCTTTCCATTTTACAATTCAATTTGAGAGAACAATTTGGGTTTGGTGGACCCATTTTGAGGCCAATTTCAGTAATTTGAATCGTTCATTGTTTTTAGAATTCATAAGTAGAATATTCATACAAAAATTCAGGTTGATAGAATATCGATAGTTATATTTTTAAGTCACAATTGTATTACAAAAAATTGATGTTATTTTTAAAAATATATTTGTTGTCTATTTTTATGACAAATGTGATTCAAACATATAATTCTTGATATCTGATTATCTGTTTTTTACAAGAATATTATAATCAAATGAATCTTAAAAAGTAAACGGTATTTATCACCGAGATCAGCCCAAAACGGGCCGATTAAGCCCAATTGCTCTCTCAAGTTGGATGGCCTACTTTATAATTATGCAGACAAATTGCCTAGTTTTTAAAGGATAATTTTAAATGAAATACAAAATTAGTGAGAAGTAAAAAATAATTAAAAATTGATGAGGTGCAAGTGAATACAAATGAGAGATATGTCCCTGCCACAACTTTACAAACTCATTTACAGCTCTGAATTTTTTATTATTTACCTCATTTTCTACCACTAACCTCCTTTAACAGCATTTATAAAATCTCAAGAGATTCTATCATAGGCTTTTTAAAGATCAATCTTAATAATCATACCCCTAGATTTACCCTTTTTGTATCTAAGAGAATAATTTCTTGAGTTATGATAATGTTGCCAGTGGTAATTCTACCAGGTATGAACCTACTCTGATTGGGACTAATGAGGTTAGAGAGGAGAGGTCTCATTCTATTAACAATTATCTTGGTGATGATCTTATAGGTGACATTATAGAGACTAATAGATCTGAATTGTTTAATGGTCTCAAGGTTATCTAGTTTAGGAATGAGGACAATTTGTGTTTCATTGATCTCCTTAGGGACAATTTTGTTATGAAAACAATTCTTGATGAAATAGCAAACAGAAGGGCCAACAATGTTCCAGTTCCTGTGATAGAAAATAGCTTGGATGCCATCTTTCCCAAGTGCTTTGAAAGCTTTAATGTTCTTGATGGCATTCCAGATCTCATAGTTAGAAATAGGGGCTAAAAACCTATCATTGTCCTCTAAGGTAAATCTAGTTCTAGCAATGTTGGTCCAACTCTCCAAGAGGGTGGTTTCGTCATACTTAAACAGGTTATTAAAATGATCAATGATATGGGTTTTGAGGTCATTGGTGTCAGAAATCTAGTTGCCCTTATCATCTCTAAGAACATTAATTTTTAACTTCCTTCTCTCATCTCTAAGAACATTAATTTTTAACTTCCTTCTCTAATTGAGGGTAGAGATATGGAAAAACCTAGTGTTTTGGTCAACCATAGTAAGCCATTTGGATCTAGACTTTTGAAACCAGAGAATCTCCTCTTGAAAAAGAGTATTATTAAATTGTTTCACTAGGTCTTTTTCTAAAACATGAAGGTTGTGAGAAAAGGAGTAGGCTTAGGCTTTTTGGATTCCCTCTATGCGAGCAAGGAGGGTTCTTTTTCTTTTAAAAATGTTTCCAAGCACATCCTTATTCCAGATTTTGATGTTCTAAGTAAAAGCATCAATGGCACTTAAGAGGCCATTGTATATTAAGCCAAGAATTCTGGACAACATCAGTGAAATTAGGGTGACTTCAGTGAAATTAGGGTGACATAACCATGCAGCTTCAAATCTAAATGTCCTATTCTGAGGGTTAGAGGGATGCATACCTTGGGTGAATACCACTAGAGGGGAGTGGTCTGAGTACTTTCGAGGTAGTGTCCTCACAGTGCCTTAAGGAAAGAGGGCTCTCCATTTGTCATTACTCATTGCTCTGTCCAAGCGTTCCCTGGTGTTGACCAATACTTGTCTGTTGTTAGTCCAGGTAAGTCTAGGACCTATGCTCCCCAAATCAATGAGGTTGCAGTTATTGATTCTCTCCCTGAATCTCTAAGTTCTGTTAAAGTTGTGGTAGGAGGAGAAGCTCCTTCTTTCACTTTGATCAGTGAAATCATTGAAGTTCCCAGCAACCAACCATTGCTGGTTCATGTTGTTAGCTGTCTCCTCCAGTTCCTCCCATAGATTCTCTCTAGCTGCTGGATTTGGACTGGCATACACTGTTAATAAGACCTACTCTTCGTAGTCTGCCTTGTGAATGGTAGCTTGTATATACTGATTAGATACAGCAGATGTTCAGACATTAACATGATCTGTATCCCATATAAACCAAATACCCCCCCATTCTTCCTATTGGATCAACCACTGTAGAAGCTGAGAAGCCCATATTGTTAAAGAAATTTCCCAGGGAGCTGAAAGTGACCTTTGTTTCCATGAGGATCAGAATTTTTGGTTTGTGTGTCCTAATAAGCTCTCTCAAGTTGCGCTTGAAAGTGTTGTTCCTGCCCCTCGGCAGTTCTAGATCAAGATCTTCATAGAGTCTATGAATGGATAATTTGGGAAGGGTTCAGAGGCTAGGCTCGTAATGATGCTTTGAATCTTATGATGGTCTTGATCTATTGACCTCATGGATGCCATCTGGAACGAGTGGATTGAAGGACTTGGTATGGTGCTCCATCCTGGTTCGATTCTTAGCCTTATTTGTTCGATCCACCATATTGTGTCTACGCAGTGAATTGCTTCTATCTCTGGTTCTAGTAAAAGACCCATCGCACTGCCCTTCATCTTGTGCATCAAGACCGTTGGTAGAGTTACCTCCTTTCTCTCCATGGTGGATTCCTGGGTCTGGTGGTTTTCGAGATCTTGGGTCTCTATCTTCCAGTGGGGAAGTTTGGTTTATGGTAAGAGGGTTAGGTGGGTGTGGCTTAGTGTTGTCATCTATTACCTCCTCCATTGGGATTTCTGGAGAATCAATTTCTGCTAGCGTGGGATTAGGGTTTGCAGGTCTGGATTGAGCAGGTATCATACTAGAGACAGTGATGTCCTTATCCTGACTGGTTCCAACTGTTTGATGTGAAAAGGCTTGTGCTTTGGCGTGTAGCTTAGATACTACAACATTCATAGGATTTGCTAGGCCTTTAGGTGGGCTTGAGTTCTATTGAGCATAGTTAGTGGGCTTTTTGTAGGCTGGGAATGTCTCTGGCCTAGGTTGGGGAGTTTTACTAGAGTTAGAGATCTCATTCTCTTAGCCCGATCTGGTGGTTTTCTTTCCTTTGGTGGGTTCCTCTTCGTGATGGCTGGTGCTACCTAACTCAGCAAATTTATAATTTGTTGGTGTTTGGGCTAGCCTCATAATGTTGGGCTTTCTTGTACGCATTTCGAGCGCCGAATCTTTTTCTATATTGGCATCCATGGCCCAAAAGCTTCGTCTCCTTCCTCTATCCTAATTTTTTGAAGGTTACTGTTATCTACTGGTTGTGCCGTTTGGATGGTCCCTGTAACAGCTACTGGGTTTCCTGTCGGGTAAGGATTTGAGCTTTGAGTCAACTCGGACATTGGGTTCACAGCCTTGAATTTGCATAACTCCTTTTGGTGATCCACCTTGCCACAATGAAAACAAAAAGAGTGAATAGATTCATATTCGATATTATAACTTTTCTTATCTAATACAAATCTGGGACAAAATGGTTTTCGTAGGTCCACTTCGATGCAAACCCTTGCGAAGCGGCCTCTTGTAGCCATGGTTGTGGTGAGATCAATCATCAGTGGTTTCCCTAGTTGCTTCGCGATGGTATAGAAGACTTTCTCTTGAAAATACTCAATCGGAAGCTCTGGAAACCGAACCCAAACAGTCGTGGTGGTTTCGAAGGCTTCCGATGCCTTGAAGTCAGGCTCCCATTTACGCACTGTAAGATAATGGTCCATGATTACCCATGGTCCTCCTGAATAAACCATCGCACAGTCCTCTTGGGAGGAGAACTTGAATAAGAAATAGTTGTTACCCAAATCAATGACGTCAAATTCATCTTGCAGCCCCCAAGTGTCTCAACTCTGGTACAGAGCATTTTATATCCTATACTCTTACCAAGCAATCTGATGATGAGTGCATTCGTCCGTGGTTTGTCTGATTTCTTGCAATAGCTTTTTAGGGAGGGCGATTCTGAGTATTCCATCTTTCCTCTGTGATTGATTCTCATCTTGGATGTCTGTGTCTCCATCCTCATCCTCCTCTTCAGTGATAATATTGGCTATTAAATCATCAAAGTAGAAATCTTTGTTTTTGGGTGTTGCAAGAGCTTCTTTGAAGGATTTAACCTTGGTCCCCTCAGCTGGAGCAATCATTAGCTTAGAATTTTTTGCTTGAGAAGGAGCTGGGAGATTTTGAAGGGGGAAAACTGTTGGGGACAATCTTCTATGTAAAATAAATAACTTGAAACAAATTAAACAAAAAATAAATAAATTACTTACAGAATTTATTTTACTGAACCGAATAAATATTTAAAAGATCAAGTCGAGTGTGTGACACTCTGTCTTTAAGACAGATTCGCCCCGCTACGGTGCTTACGGAAAAATGGCGTCTATCTCCTAGGATACAATAATCTTCACAAATTGTAGTAGCACTCCAAACAATTTGTTCGGCAAACAAAAAACTGTGTTCTTATTCTGAATTTTTCCTAAAATAATATGAAGATTATATCATGCAAGAGAGCAAAACTAGAAGGAAAATGAAGAATTTCGAAGGTCCCAAATGCTGGAAATGAATCTGAATTTATAGGCAAAAAGGTGGCCTTTCAAAACTGTTTGAATAGGTATGAAAGACCTGAACAAATACAGTTTGAAATTCAAACAGATTTGGAGCAGTTTCAATAGATAACTGCAGCAGTTTGAATCTGTTGAAAACTGCTAGGTAGTTTTTAAACCTGTCTGGAACTACTGGGCAGTTTTCAACCTGTTTGGACAGTTTAATCTTTTGGAATTTTAGACTGGAAATGGATAGAAATCTTGAATTCAAATTTGAATTAAATTCTCGCATGAATTTTTTGAAAAAATTTAAATAAATTTTATCCAAAAATTTAATAGTAGAACCGACCCGACCCACAACTGCGCCGGGCACGGCATGTCGGACGGGTGACAGCGGCGGCGCGTGTGTGGTGCTTTGGGCTAAGGTTCACTTTGTCCATAACTCCTCCCTTCTACAAACTTGGGGTGTCCCTTGGGGCCCAATCCAAGGTTGTACACCTAGAGCTTATATACATACACAAGCTCTCTTAAAGTTTCAATGTGGGACAACCCATTTTAAGGAAACTCATATTTAATTCTTTAAATGTCCATTCTATGAACCCGAAAACGATGTCAAATTTCCTTTCACTCATATATGGTTTTGACAAACCGTCTTCACCGTGTGACTTGCCATACGGTAAGGAACACGTCACCTCTTTGGACCCACCTCAAAAGACATGTGGACCCCACACAATTTTGGGCTCAAAGTTGGCCCAAAATAAGCCTATAAAAACCAATTTTCCAACAAAAACTTATGTAGTGATTTCCTTCTCTACTTCCTCCGTTGATTCCTTGCTTTTAATCTTCTTGGTGCTACGGATCAGATGATCCTCTTCCTCCTGAGACTTTCCGTTGGGATCTATTTCCACTGTTTCTGGTGTGCTCATTCTAGAAAGAGAATTTTTGCAAGCGTGACTTTGAATATTTGTATTAATCTAAAGACTCTAATCTACTTCCTCTAAACCTATACACACACATATCACTTGTAAATAGAAAACAGAGGAGAAGATGTGCGGAGATAGGGGTGGTGGTCCTCACTTGTAAGAGCATCTTCAATCCTTCACCTTTTCTTTTATCAAATTTAAAAGTGTTCAATCTCCACTCATTTCATCAATTGTTCGTCAAATCAAGGGAAAGTAATTTTTAACCAAATTGAGAACTCATCAAATCCTTCATCAATTTGAATTTGATGAAAATTTAGAAAGATAAAGCATTGGAGGTGATTTTTTTTTCCTCTCAATAAATTTGATGAAAACGAAAATTTGGAATAAGAGGAGATTTTTTATAAAGACTTTAATGAAAGAAAAGGAGTAATTTCAAATTTAGAAAGATAAAGCATTGGAGGTGTTTTTTTTTTTTTTTTTCCCCGGTCAAATTTGATGAAAACGAAAATTTGGAATAAGAGGGGATTTTTTATAAAGATTTTAATGAAAGAAAAGGAATCATTCATATCAAACCAATCTTTTTGCTTAAATTTAAATCAAATTAAATGAAAAAATTGGTGGAAGATTGAAAATGCTCTATCTGTTAGAAGAATTTTCACATCGGCAAAAATTAGATGGACAAAGATGATTAGTTATGTAATAATAAACTAACTAGAACAAAACAAACCATACATACCTTCAGCTATGGTAGAATTCAAGAATAACAAACGTTTGGCAACATTCAATTTTAGCCTAAAAATCAAAAAGTTAAAAAAAAAAATTCCAAAAAGTCAACAAATTATACTAAAAAGTCAAAGATTCACTTTTCTCTCAACTTTTTACACATATTTTCATAAAAAATCAAAAACTCATCCCAAATATACTAATTTTTTTTATCTCATATTTTAGACAAAAAAATAAAAAACGTAATAAATAGTTTGTTCCCAAACGAGGCCAAGATTAATAGTGAAAGGATTAATAATTTCATAAATTAGTGTAAGATTAGTTATCCAATTAAACTAGGGAGATAACTAGTTATTATGTATTCATTTTGATTTTTTTCTTTCATATTTGAAATTATGATCCCCGCTCCTCTCAATAATAAAAATTTGTCAATTTCGTCGAATTGAATCTCTGTCGACATGTAATACAATTAATAAAATTTGCAGTCAAACATGGAATTGTAAGTCCATAAATTAACAGTCTCAATCCTATGCTATAATCTTACTAATTAAACATGCCCACAATTTAATTACTATTAGTCTCTACACTAAAAGCTTTAATCTTTACACCAGCAAATATGGGGTAGATTCAAAGTCTTCTCCCTCTTCAATCACACTATTATGTTTGTTTTCTCCTAGCGATACGATGTCAGGCTTCTAAAAAAATTATGTGTTGTATGTGAATAGAGAGAGGGACCTTGAATCCTATTTAATAACAAGATACTATTTTTTATTTAATTAATTAAGTGTATGATGATTATTCTACTAATTAAGAATGATAAATTGTAAAATTTTAGGGTTTAAATTGAAACAAATAAAAAGTTAGGATTTGATTTGTTACGGAGGTTAAATCTTGGGTTTTATTTATTTATTTTTGTAATTTCTCCTATATATATAAGAGGTTACAATGTGCATCTCAAAAGGGTGCATATGGTATCTTCTTTGTAACAATCTTGTAAAATTTTACAAATAACATAAACCATTAAATTTTATAAATTCTCACCATAGAAGTCATAACTTCTCACCACAAAATACCATTAAAAGAATCAGAAGTCATAACTTCGCCATTAATAACTTTAAGATGCACAACATAAATTCACTATTGGTAACTTTATCGCATAGTGACATAACACACTACAAATATTCATTACTTTCATCACATAAAATCGTAACTTTCTTGCGATGTGCACCTGCGCCGTTAGGGATGCATGCTCTAGATTTGTCTAGATAACAAATATAATATATGAAACTAACTTATGATTTTTTGTTAAAAATTAGGACAGTAAGACAGACTATTTGACTTTAGCTCAATTCATGTTCGACTTGTTCAAAGCTTGTTTGAGATCGATTTGTTAAAAGTTTGTATTATTTTTATTTTTTATGTAACGTTTAAAATTTTGAGAATTTTCTCTAAATCAATTTTAAAAATAGTTCCACCCAATGCATTTTTGTGTATCATTTTAATTTTTTTTTTATAGTTTTGGGAACAAAGAATTTTAGTGTAGACACAATGTTAGTTGGACCTCACGTTAAGTGATGAAACTTACATATAATTTTTGTGTTGTTGTTAATATATTCGTTGGTATATTTATTGGTATTCTTAGCGTTAGTGTTTTTAATATAAATACACATTGCTATTTTTTATTTATATCAATACCGTCCATATAGACTAGTACAAACTTACCAACAGATGTATTTTTTTTCCCTCTAATTTTGTAGGATTCACATTAAGCACAGAAATGATTGAGTTAGGGAAGGCAATGGTCAAGCATTGTGGTGGTGTACCGTTGGCAATTGTGGTATTAGGAGGACTTTTGACAGCAAAAGACAAACTGGTTGAGTGGAAGAAGGTGAGTAAAAACATTAGTTATGACTTAGGTAAGGGCAAAAGCCAGGGAGGAATCCCAATAACAGATATTTTAGCCTTAAGCTACCAAGACTTGCCTTACCATCTTAAGGCGTGCTTTTTTTATTTGAGCCATCTTCCTGAAGATTATGTTATTCGCACAAAAAAATTGATTCAGATGTGGATGGCTGAAGGCATTGTGTTGCCATCATCGATACCAACACAAGTAGGAGAAGTGGAAGAGGAACAATGTTGGATGTTGGAATGAGTTATTTGGGTGAGCTAGTCCAGAGATGCATGGTTCAAGTCCAATTAACAAGGTTCAACAAAAGGATTAAACTTTGTCGCCTTCACAATCTCATGAGAGACTTATGCTTGTTAAAGGCTAAAGAGGAGAATTTTCTCGAGATTGTTCACATTAAAGCCTTTGGTCATCAGCTCTCGTGGGTAGATCCTGCATCATCTTCTTCATCATCATCATTAACAACAATTCGCAGACTTGCCATGTACTATTTGGGTGACCGTGATGCCAACTCTATAGAAAGCAGAAATGTTATTCCCCTATCTGGACATGAAATGAAGAATCACCACCATGTACGATCATGCCAATTTTACTCTTTTGGCAATGAATTGGAAAGTTCTGGTTGGCAAAAATTAAAATTACTCTTTAAGGGCCTCACATTGATTGCAGTTTTAGACCTTGAAAGAATTACTATATTTGGGAAAGGAAAAAAGTTTCCGAGAGCAATAGGAAACCTAATTTACTTGAGGTATTTAAGTATAAGAGAATCTGATACTATTACAAGTTTGCCTTCCTCTATAGGCAACTTGGGATTCCTCCAAACCCTAGATTTAAGGAGATGGAGCATCAGCAGTTTAAGAATACCTAATGTCTTGTGGAGGTTGAAACAATTGAGACATCTATATCTTCCTTCTCGAATCAAGTTGGCTGGAACAAATAAGTTGCGATTGGATAGTTTAAACAAACTGGAGACGCTAGAATACTTTGATAGAGAGTATTGTGATGTCAGATGCTTATTTAAATTGACAAATCTTTGAAAATTCAGTGGTCGGGTAGCCCCCAAAGACTTAGTCGTGATGTTGAAATCCCCAATCCTCAACAATTCAAACTGCCTTCTGCAATATTTGTCCTTCTGGATTAGAGGAGATTTCCAAACGGAAGAAGAACAAAGCCTTTTAAGGCAACTTTTAGGATGCCACCATCTTCGCCAATTGTCATTATGGGGGTACCTGAATATGGTTAATAAATTGCCAGATCAATTCCCTCCAAATCTCACCTACTTATGTATGGGGAATACTGAACTAGAGGAGGACCCAATGCCAACATTGGAGAAGTTGCCCAACTTATGGAGCCTCATCTTAGATTGGAATTCCTACATTAGGAAGGAGATGGTTTGTTCTTCTGCACCAACAACACCACCACCCAGCAGCTGCAGAGGTTTTCCTCAACTCAAATCTTTAGTGCTTAAGTCTATTCAAAACTTGGAGGAGTGGAAGGTGGAACAAGGAGCCATGCCCTGTCTCTTCCGTTTAGTAATTGTTGACTGCCCAAAATTGAAGGAGGTTCCAACCGGATTGAGGTTCATTACCACCCTCCGTGAATTGCAGATCCGAAGTGTAGCTGAAGCACTCAGAGACAGGCTTAGAGAAGGAGGAGAGGAATTCTACAAAGTCCATCACGTGCCTTCCATCGCAATTCCCTGAGCCTGCCCTCGATCCTACTACATTTACATCAGGTTGGTTGGTCCCATGCTCAATTTCTTTCCCCTCTCTTCCCCCTTTATTTTTTATTTCTTAAAATTAAGGGTTAATTTCACTTGTATTCCCTAACTATCAACAATTTTTTTTTTTTTTTTTTATCTCCTCTAAACCATCAATTTCGTCTATTTAGTTCCTAAAATTTTTAATTTTTATTCATGTGGTCCAATTAGAGACAATTGTCCAAATCAATAACCATTAAAACCTAATTTGAGGGGGGGAAAAGATAATTTTATAATTTAAACAACTTAAATCATACAATCAAACACCTTAAGTTGGTTGTGGGTTGTAATTTATTCAAAATAGTAAGAAAATGAGTGTTTTAATGTATGATTTAAGATGTTCAAGTCTCACATAACATTATTTTATTCAAATTAAGTTTTAGCAATTATTAATTTGTATAATTGTCTCCAATTGGGCTCTACATAAACATAAATTAAAAAATTTAAGAACTAAATAGACGAAAATGATAGTTGAATCAAGTAGAAAAAATGGTGATATTTATGACTTCAATGATCCAAAACCATGTCAAAACAAAATTTTCAGATTATTAGTGGTACTAGCTTCGAAAATTCTAACTTTTCAGCCTTGTGCTTTCCTTCGCTTCCTGGAATAGAACAAATTGACCAACACTTCATCTATGCTTTAATTTTGCAAAAGAAGTATTAACTACCTTTCAAATTTCATGTCAAATAATAGAGAACGCATACATGCATATATGTATGTCTCAAGATATGCTTTCCAATCTTATGATGTTCTGAGAGTTGCCACTATTGCAATCTCATGGCTCAATTGTGTTGGAGAAATATAATCTTATGCAACTCAAGTAACTCATTTTATGTTTGTGTACGACACACGATGCAATTCTCCTCTGTTGCTTGTGTGCAAGACCGAATTTTTTGTAGTATTGTTTATGAATCTAGTAAAATGTCTTTCTCAGAGAATGGAGAAATTAGAAAATTAGTATGTAATTTCTTGTGCTTAGATAGGATCATAACTTCTTGAAAAACATAAATAATTAATCGTACTCCAATGTTTACAAGGCATCCTTGCAGAGAAAATTAGTTTTTCTTTGTTTTTTTGTTCTCCCCAGTTGTTTAAAGGCTGCAATGGATGCGCGTGGAGACAACAAAACTAAAGAATCAACCTATTCCTTTTCAATCATCAACCTACTACTCATCAATGCATAAGATCCCGCTTGGAAACTTTATTTTATAACAGTCTTCAAAATGCAGAGAAGCTTGTGTACTGATTTTGATTTGCACAAGTTAAGACATATTTAACCAAATTTCACTTATTGTTAACAGTAACAAATGCAGAGGCTATAGGAGTCGAGATTTCTATTAAAAGCAGTGTCACAATTGAACTTTAAATCACCTATTCCAATGAATTTACTACAAGAAAATCCCAACTTTGCCTTGCTTTAGCTTTCCGGTGACTTCAGTGCAAGAAAATTCTCAAACTATCATCAAAATGACCTGAATTCTACTATAGTTAATCTGTTGAGCAATCCTCATTTGTAGTTTGAATATGCAAAATGAAGTTCGGCTTGCTTTGCCTATTAGTCCTGGAAACATCAAAGTGGGAAGACAATAGCTGTAGTTTTTCAGGAAATAGTGATGATTTGATCACTTGGTTCAGGGTTCCATAGATTTCATGAGAAAACCTCTGTTCAAATAGTCTACATATCTATACGTTTTATTTTCAATGTCACTGTCCATTCACCAAACTTTTGGAGATTTGAAAGAATTTGAAATCCAAAATTCAACAGCTTACAGTGCACACTGGCTAATAGTTATTATTACTACTGTCGATACTCTATTTCAGCAAATGGAGGGCAATGAGGATATCTGGGTGGTGGCAGGTCCATGTTATCTATCTTGCACAATCTTTTTATTCATGCCAGTTATCTCTACAGCCATGGAGTTTGCTCACAGCAGCTTTTTTCTTAGCCTGGTTTGCAGCATTTTCCCGTATCTCTTCTTCTCATGGAGAGGCCTACTTTCCTTTTGATACCGAATGGTCCTACCTGACAGCATCTAGTCAATCTACTGTTAGCTTTCACATCTCAATTAAGGTCTATATGTTACCACTGGTGATCTTTTTTTTTTTCAAACTGTATTTTTGCTTCAGTTTTTGTTAAGGCTTCTTCATGTAATTAGTTATTATTTCCTGTGCTTGGTGTTGTCATAACACACCTAACACTTTTTGCCATTGTGTTTATTAAATCTGTAACACTACCACATTATGGGCTGCTCAACAAATGTATGAATGTATGAGTGGTATTCATCATGATAAGTCCCTACTATTTAGTCTTTCAATCCAAATTGTCAGTATTGGATATATAATGTGACCATCAGCAGGATGCTCAAACAGATGAAATGTTCTGAAGTTCTACTTTGAAGTAATGTTAAATTGCAATTTGTGGTTCCAGTAGAGTACAGCAGCCTTCATTTGAAGACATGGCGAGCAAGCTTAAGGAGGTCTGATCGTTGATGGATATTATGGCAAATGGTGCGGTGCATAATAGACACATCCATTTGTCTCACTCGCATGCTATGGATCATATTTGTTCCATATGAAATATGAATTACTCATGCAAATCCATGGACTCTCCATAAACAGTAGAAACTTAGATTTTTTATTTATTTTTTATTTTTCTTCTAAATTTTCAGAATTACAGATGATATGGTTTGTGTTATTTTGTAATAAGGCATGTTTTTTTTATAGGACACAATTGGTTGAGCTCATTCTATTGCAAATCTTTTCTTTTGGTTGAACTTATAGACTAATCTCTTGTGTGGGCCTGCTCTTACCTTTTCTTGTGTTTGGATGCAATTCTACTTCGTGGTAATTTATTTTGCATTACAAACCAGAACCTGCACATCGTGGATGCAATTTTGGGACCTTAGTGGATGGCCTCTGTTATTCTACCTGATAATAAAACTTCATCACTACCAAATGAGAAAATTGGCGATGAACATGTATCTTGTACTTGCTTTACTTTAAAAAAAGAAAAAAAGAAAAGAAAATTGCTTGTTTAAGTTTACTAGACAGATTTCTTTTATGAATGACATAAGAAGTCTCAAGTTTGTCCTGAATCTAAACATTAGTTCTTTCCGGTTGTGTTCTTAAATCTTCTCCCTCTATGGTAGTTGTGGGTGTTGTGACCTAATCCCATTTTTGGTTGGTTAATTGTTTCAACAGGTTACTGTCAGCTACAACTCTTTTTGCTCTTAAATGTGCTTATAAGAACAATTTTCTGCACATTAATTTTATTACTAACTCTGAGTAGATGAAGGGCAGTAAAGAAATTCAGGTAGTGGCAGCTCCATGGTTTTTTGGAATTTTGTTGTCTCAAAATCTTTTCATTCATGCCAATTATCTCTACAACGAAAGAGTTTGCTCACAGCAGCTTTTTCTTTAGCCTGATTTGCAGCATTTTCCCATATCTCTTCTTCTCGTGGAGGGGCCTATTTTTGCATCAGGTCCTTTTTTTTTCTTTTTTTTTTCAGTTGTGTTGAGCCTAGACTGTTAATTTATATATGTCAATGAATGATGATGTTTTCCTTAAATTACTGGGGAATCCTATGCTTGATGGTGTCATAACACACACTATTTGTGTTTATGGTTCCATTGCAATTTGTGGTTCCAGTAGGGCATACGCCAACTTTCATTTGAAGACATGCCAAGCAAGTAGAACAGACACATTTATTTAGTTTGTTTGGTTTGTTTCTTAGAAAAAATTTTGAGAAAAATTCTCTACAAATAAATTTTTAAGAGTAATCAAATCAAACAAATTTTTTCAAAAAAAATTTCAAAATTTTGTTTGGTTACCTATTATTCAAAATCACTCTTTTATACACATCAAATCAATCACTTTTTTTAAAACTCTTTCTCCAAAATAATTTTCCAAAACTATTTCTAAAGAAACAAACTAAACAAGTTTTCATACTTTTTATCTCAAAAATTACTCTACAAACACAATCTAAAGACACCAACCTGTAGTTGATTCTTCTTCACGTGTCTGTAAGAAGAAAAGTCGCAATGGAGAAATATCTTGCATAGACAGTCTCGGTTGTCGATTTTGTGATTTGTTTTGTATCAATACAAGTAGAATTAGGGGTAAGCGCGGGTCGGTTGCGGCCATGAAACTTTCAATTCGTCATTCGTCTGCCAGATTGACGGATTGGAGAAAATTAATCTACATCCGTCTGCCAATCTGACGGATGTAGATTGAGCGGATTGGC